ATAAAAGAATTATTGTTAAGTAGTTTCATCTAGATGATCGTGCATACAATCACATTAATAAGATGCGACTATGCATCAATCTATTATCATACTCTATCACTTAAACTAAAGCATCCATAACCGAGGTTTTGTCACATGCGAAAGGAACTATAACTAGTTAATGTGTGCTTTCGCTTCATGCGATTAGACTAATCAATAAAACAAGGAAGTAAGGACAACACAGTTAAGTGTGAGCCTCTAAGAGCCATAAAGATGGTCTTTTTTGTGTGGAAAGTCGGACGAAAAACATCCTATGGCATTGGTGATCTAGCATATCAAGCATTAAACTCATACAAGCATGCATAATCGCGTCACCAACTAAACATACATGCAGAACACTAGCGAATCATATAAGAAGAGTTTCCTAGCAACCTATGATGATATTATATGCAAGGAACATAGTAGCACACAATAGATGATATAAGCATAGAATGGTTAAGGACTTAAGGCATCAAACAACTAAAGCATCGAATGATATAATCATCACATGGCTAAAGCGTCTAATGATATAGTCATATAGGCATCCAATGATAAATGCACCTAACAACCAAATCATAGAAATTTGATGCATGAAGCAATAAAGAATTCACATCAATAAGCAACACAAACTTAGTTGTCCATAGAAGAGATCGATTATAAATGCATCTTCATGAAGATCTTATAGAAAGCCACCTCCTCCTATGGATGCTACTCGAGCATACTAGGGTAGAGTGTGTGTAAAAATTGTGTCTAAAGCTCTAGATTAAGCCTTCATTTATACAAATAACATGAGGGAGAAAACTGTCTACAAATAAGGATTTCTTCGGGCAAAAGGAGTACTTCTCGAACTTGGATTCAGCTGAAAGTCGGTGGGAAGGTTTTAGATGGTTCCAAGAGTATCCCCATTCATTTGTATTTGTCGTGGTTAGATCTATGAGATGTGGATCGAACCAGTTGATCCCAATAACTCAAGTTGTTGGGAGATGTTCAATCGTGGATCATATACCATTTACTAAAAATTTCATGTTTACTATTATATTTGAAGACATATATGTCAAATTTCAGATATAGTAATGTTTGATGTAAGAAATAAGTATTATCCACGGTATCCAAAAAACCGCAAATACAAGGATGGAGTTCCAAAATATTCCTAACATGAACATGGAGCGAATATAAATTCAAATATTTGGAAACAGAATGGTTTACGAAACCGACCACATCCGGCTTAGGATAGGGTGCATAAACTCTATGTTTCTCCTACCCCGAAAGAGAGCATCCCTTCTGCTTATGTTCCTACCGGGCGAAGGAATTTAACTCGAACATTGAGATAAAAACCGTTCGAAACAAAGCATTAATTCATTATGGTTAATAAGCTGCATGCAAGAGGAAGTTATTATTAAGTAGTTTCACTGTAAAAATAGAGAGGGGAAAAGCATAGCAAGAGCTGAAGATGGACGAGCAATTTCTATAATTTGTGAATGGCAGCTAGGGCTGAAAATTACCCTGACCCGCCCCTCCCTTCCTTGACCCTGTCTGACCCGCCCCAGAAGGGTCAAGATGTATAACTGACCCTATCCGCCCTTGTTTCCTGCTTGACCCTGTCTGACCCTCTAAGGTCGGGGCGGGTTAGGGAGGGTCGGGTCAGTGGGTCGACCCTTATCAACACACTAGTTTTTAACAAATTATGTTTTGGTACCCAAAATTATTTTTTCTTATAATTAGTACCTAAACTTTTAAAATTTTACAAACAGGTCCAATGTGTTTGTATGTGGAATTTCATATCTAAGGGTCACAGGGTCAAAAAATGACTTGACCCTAAACTGCCCCGACCCTCAGGGTCGGGCCAGGTCAGGGGCGAGTCAGTCGGTTTTTAGAGTCAAGTTTACACCCCTAATGGCAGCCAACCAGAGCAACCAGGCTGATTCAGAAAAGACAGGGAGAGGGCCATCTTTCTTTCTCTTTCCCACTCTGCTTTCTCTGTGGCTCTCTCCCCCGAAACGATCAGAAATGAACAAAATTATAAAAAATAGGAGTAAGAGTGAAGTATAGAGCAAGAGATTATGATGGTGAGATCCGACAAGCTGATAGACTCTATGCCTAGTAGAAAACTCACAAAGAGGCAAAGGCATCGGGGTAATAGTACCCGAGTCTTGAAAGTCAGATCCCTCAAATGGAAACCTTGGTGGTTTGCGGTTTTGAACCACAACTGCGCAGTTTAGAATTAACCGGAACGCAAATCACAAGTCGCTAAAAATTCAGACCACATATTAGACCGCAAGTCTTACAGTGCGGTTTGGATGAACCACAAAAGTGGTTCGGTGCGATCCGAATCGGTTTGGCCGCACCATTGCCCACCTCTAGATCTCAGGGTTGAGAATGAAAGACTTTTTATTTTTACTAGTTTTCTTAATATACTCTTATCTTATTCGTTCTAAATTGGATTTTAATTTTTGTGCACAGATGGAACGAGTTCGTTGTGCTCTACAAAATGATTCATTTTCAATATTTTCTTAGAAAAAAATTTCATACATCGCATTACCAACTCTGTACCATATGATATCTCTTTTGTTTTTAAGTAATTTTTAAAAATATTTACACATAAGGAATGAGTTCATTATGATCTATTGGATCTACAAATTTCCGGGGGGGGGGGGGGGGGGGTAAATACAGCACCAAAAAATAGCATTCCGTTCCACCGTGGTATGTGGGTGGTATCTTGTGGTACACAATATTGAAAATCGTAAATGACAATAAATATATTGCTACTATCATATATTCAGTCATCCTACAGTTTGGTATGTTCATACCACCATGATATGCTTTCATACCATATGGTATGTTCTTATTTAATATCAATCAATATCATATGGTATAAATGTGTAATAAATGTCTCAATCTTTTTGTTCAAAAAATATATCATAGTGGATATAATTTTGAAGAGCACAATTAATATGATTTATTTGTGCAACAAAAATTTAAATTCTAACTTAAAATGAAACAAAAATCGTCCGTTAAAAATTAAAGGGAAAATGTTAGAGGCCTACCATAATTAAACTTATTTTTGGAGGGTCGAATACTATACCTACCCCCAAAGGGGTTGACATTTTGACACCCTTTTATGATTGGTCAAGTTTATTTTCAATCATTGGCAAGTCTTAACTAAACTTATTTTTTTTAATCTTGTAATTTGGGCATTGATTACGTAATTGAGTTCTCTCGCCCACATTGGAAAGGAAAAGAATTCGGGGAACGCGATAAAAGCACCCCCAAATTCGCAATTAATTGCCATTTTTCTCTCCCTTTCATCTCCTTCTCTCTCCATTTTGATTTCATTTCCACCAAAATCCTCCCTGTTGTCTCTGTCCTCCTCCAGTGCCTTCCAAGATCACCACCCTCCTATCTCCAGCCGTCGCCATCCTACGTTCACCATCCTCTCGCGTTGCTGCCACCATCCCCCGTCGCTGTGCCGCCCTCCTCCCCCATGCCCTCTCCAGTGAGTTTTCAATTTTCAGTTGACTTTTCGATTTCCAGATCTGATTTTTGTACCACTGTAGTGATATTTGTACTACTGCACTTAAACTCAAAATATGGTATCTATACCAGTGCACTGGTAGCGTTACCAATGCACTGGCGATACTACTACGCTGGTACAAATGTCAGATCTGAGTATCAATGCAGTTGTACAAATACTAGTGCAATGGTACAACATATCAGTGCAATGATATATTTTTTAATGTAGTGTTATATTTTTCCAGGTGGCCGGAGAGTCTGCTGACAGGATTTCACCGGCGAAGTGTTGTGGTCGAAGACTGCTGGGAAAGGAAGAATCAGAGAGAGAGGATTGTATTTAATGTAGGTTTAAATATAAAAAAGTAAGTAATTAATATGGGTTTCCAATGTGTAATGAATGAGTTTTAAATTTGATAAAGATGCATTAAATGTGAGGGAGTGTCATTTTTCCAACCCCTTATGAGATTAGCAAGTTAACCGATCCCAACTGCTGGTAATTGCTTTACGCATAATTATTAATGAGAGACTAATCGCGGTCCATTAGTGAAAGACATCTTAGGACCAAGGATCGGACTATCATATAGCGTTCGGTCCATTTGGTCTGATTCGATTCGGTCCAAATATCCGGTCCACGATTTCATCAGTAATTATAAAATTCATGTAGACCAAAGACCGGACCGCATTATACTCAGTCTAGTGCAGTCCGACCAAACTTCGATTTGATTCGATGCAATCTAATCCCGGACCAAACCTTTCCACACCACTACCTATTGCTGGCCCTACCGCTGAAATTCGTTTCTTATTAAGAAAAAAACCAACTTGTCATTTCCTCGAGCGAATCAAAATAATATCGCTTTTCAAGTAAAATACATTATATTTCACATTCAAACAATACTACTAATGGGCCAGTCACGAGCCAACGGCTTGTCTTGTGGATCGTTCTTATTCTTCCCCGTTGCAAAGAGAAGGCAAATAAAAGACAAAAACAAAACAAGTCGCCACTCCTACTCTCTCTCTCCAATAACCGTAGTAGCTGAGTTTGGTGTCCCCATCTCCAAACTGGATAAGACCCTCATCTTCTTTCTTCCTCTGCCCTACACCATATATTCTTTTATTAGTCAGTGATTATCATCCTTGTTAAACAAGTCCGGTACAATCGTTCGATATAATCAGATTCAATCAATATTGAACACAAATCGATTAAAAGGTTATCGATATGAACTAATAATCAAAATCAATAAAAATTATCATAATCTATCAAAATCGTGAAAATCCAATAATGAAATGTCATGTAGTCTCTATAGTGATATCCTATTTAAATATGAGTATAAATTATATGGAGCTTGTGTTAAGATTAATTTTATATATATATATGCACAATTGACTTGGTATTAATAATTTCACACCTTCTCTATAAGTTTATTAAACCAATATAAACCATCATATAAACGGATTATACCCCATCCAACCATATCACTTGCTAAACTTGTGTGACGTGTAAATTGGTATGGTGATTATCCGGTATTAATCAGTGCCCTGCCCCCACAATTATTCCCTAATCCAACCCAAAGAGAGTGGACACTTGACGGATACAGCACAGTCCCGGCGTTTTATGTATACACTAATCAACGTCCCTTGGAAGAAGGGAAGAGGCGGCCGGATATATCTATCTATCTATCTTGGACAGACACGATCAAGGAAAGCGAGATAAAAACAACATAAAACAGATACATTTATTGCGGAAACAGCTGCAGAGAACTGGGAACTCAGGGCTAGCTCCGGAGATTCTCCTTTTTTGCCCCCAGCTAGCTAAAGCTAATCATTACCTCTTCATTACATTATTGTTATGGTGATCCATAGGGTGGAGATGTGCATCTCGCTGACCAGGCTCGCGTTCGAGTTCGTCCTCGTCGTGGCCGAAGCACTTGAGACCGTCATCCAGCGCAACGGCGCCGATTCCGACGACGACGACGACGATGGCAACGTTTTGCCGCACCTCCGCCGCCGCCGTCACTACAACCCCTATTATTCCCCGCCCGCCGCTTCTGTCCCTTTTGTTGCCTTCCTCCCTTAATTCTTTTTTTTTTTTTGTGCCACCGCGCGCACGTCCTAGCAAAACCCAAATGCCTCTACTTTTCTACCGGAGAAGCTCGAGCCACCCAAATTGTGCAGCGGCGCCCTCCTTCCCCATTTCCCAAACTCTGCTTCTTCTCATAATTGTTTCATTAATTCCTTCTTTTTCTCTGCTGCTGCTATTATGTAAATCGAATTGTCCGATATACCATTATCGAGGAAATAAAATTCTTTGTTCACCTGTATATTCTTATTCTGCTTCTCTCTCTCTCTTTTTTTTTTTTTTGCCTCCACTCTCATATTTCCATTATCCAATACCCAAGAAGAGAAAAAAAAAACGAGAAAACAACAATTACAGCATTATCTTACTGAGAATTATTAAACAATGGGATTAATAGAGAAAAGGTGACAATTAATATATAAGATTTGAGAAAATTTCATTATTGCATAATTTTATGTTTGGGGCGGATGGGGACGGGAAGTCTATAAATTGTTTGAGCAAGTGATCAAAATGTAGCTAATATCTTCCACCAATAGCAAGCAAGCAATTCTGGAGTTGTAGAGGCCTTGACGCCATTGGTACATGATCCGACCCCAATATTTGATGTAGCTCATCTGGCGGAGTCTGCGATATGATTCTTTCTTGAAATTGTCTGGGTACATCAAAATCTACGTCCGTAGCAATGAACACTCTTTTCACGGAACCGTAATTGCTCTGCGTCAACACGATCTCTTTAACATCAAAGAAACGCGTTGGCCTTACCAGTGTTGTAGCCAACGCCCAATCCTGCATGCATGACATCCACACCAAAAAAAAAAAACTTAATTTAGATTTTCAACAAACAAGGAACTTCGTTTAAATGTAGATTACGAGAATTAAGGTTGTCTTGGCTTGAATTTGTTTATTGACCCCGACACTAGGATTGTAGGACATATACAGGAAAGAGTGAGAGGAGGACTTGCCTGGATTGGGCTGAGATTATACAAGTTGCGTAACAAGTAGTTGGGCCCAAAAGTCAGCGTGGTTGGAGGGTTACTAGGCCCATTCTCATACGTGAAACGGTTGTCCAGTTGGGGGCCTTCCTGGTTTAGATACTTCAAAATGCAAACGAATGGAAATTTATTATTACACATTAGAATGTAAATGTAGAGTTTTCTGGTCACATGTTCATGTTTGTTACGTAGTAGTCTTCTTCTTTTTTCCCCATGTAATTTTGGTAATGACTAATGTACAAATACAATACCTCCTGGAAAAGTGTGGAGGCAGAGTAGGAAGGCCCCGGCATGAAGGCGGCAATGAAAACCGCCACAGAGATTCTGCCGGGGAAAATTTCCATGGCTTGAGCAGCCGCAAGCCCGCCGAAGCTATGGGCGACAAGGACCACCTTCTCCGCCGGCGGGAGAGAGGCCAGGTAATCCCTGAGCGGCTGCGAGTACTGGGAAAAGGTCCGGACAGCGTCAATCTGTTGCGGGTCGATGCCGGAAGCAGCCAGGTCGATGGCGGTGACGTTGTGGCCGGCGGAGGCGAGCAGCGGCAGCATCTTGTACCACGACCACGCCCCGAAACAAGCTCCGTGGACCAGCACGAAGTGTCGGCGGCCGCCGGGGGGATTCGGGCCCGGAATGGGTAAGGAATTGGATGATGAAGTTTCGGCGGCCGCTGCCATGGTGGCGAGGAGCAGTAGAATTGTTGATAGTGAGAGTTTCATTTTTGCGTCTTTGGAAGTCTGGTGTTGGCCTATTTTTTCGACGAGGTCTTCTTATTCTTATATATATGCTCGGGGCAAGGCTTCTTCTAGCGAAGTCATAACAGAGTTGGGGCGAGATAAACGTTTCAGTATGGGCTCTCCTTTGTGTAGTTAAAAAGTGGAAGCATGGGCTTGCCATTTTTTGTTAGCAAAGTCTTTTATGGGCTTGATTTGGTTAGCGTCATCTGTATTGGAAACAAATAGGGAAGGAAGAAAAGCTTATCTATTTATAACAGCTGAAAAGTAAAACCTTGCATTAGTAGTATTCGAACCCTGATGACTCAATTAAAGAAGGAGCACTTAACCAATCAGACTAAAGCATATTGTTATTATGACTTTAATTAAACAAAACCCATTGCTTTAAAGTCGAATGAAAAACTACAATCTCATTTCGAATTTCGTGGACGGGGAGCGATTCCAATAAGTTCCATTTAGTAATTGTATATCATTTGTTTATATATTAAAAAATTGATTATTGAGATTTGAAATCATGTTACTCAAATGAAGAAAAAGTATTATAAGTTTATAAACAACTACACTACAAAGGATAAATCTATATCATCCATATAAAATATAAAAGTAAAAATAAAAGCAACTAAACTACATTGTATTTGTTGCAATTTCTTTAATTAAACACTAGAGACATATTCGGTATATGATGTTTTATATTTTATTTGAAGTTATGATATCTTATAGAATGAAATTAATCCTGAAATCAAAACTCAAGTAACACTGATTTGATTATTAAATATTTAATTGTACTAAGGATTGAAAAGGTGTATAGAAAAAGTTAGCGGTGAAGTATTTTTTGCCGAAACCATGGTTTAATCGTGGTTCAACCGTTTCATATCGCTAAATACCGCATACTGGTTTTGCTTTCGGTATGAGGTTTTTGTGGTTGAACGGCCGGTACGGTATGATTTTCAATACTTGAAAAATACATATGCATTACCAAAACGTCAACCTTTGTGACAAACTTGAAAAATACATATGCATTACCAAAATGTCAACCTTTGTGACAAAAATAGTCAGTTTTAATACTACAAATATAGTCATTCCATACACGAAATATGTTAAACTTAACACCACCATCGTACCTATGTTGAATATGTAAACTAGATACACTAACGTGATATTTTTTGTGTTAACTTGACAATTTGGAGTTTTTTTTCCACTTCTTATGCTAATTAACTTAAATAAAAAAGAAAGTAACAAAGAGAAGGGAAATATTCACTAACGAAAAAAGGAAAATTAAGACGGACAAATGAATAGTCACATAACCTCTCCTTCCAACCCATTTTCTATCTTTCATTTCCGCCTCTTCTCCATCTCTCACCATCAATAAAATTCAAACCAATGTTGGCTCCCATCTAGTAGCATATTTGAGTTCAATAGAACATATGACAAAGTTCTTTCAATTGGGTAATGAAAATGCATAATAAATTGCTTCAACATACGACGAAAACGACAGTAACTAAACTGAAAATATGAAGCAAGTTGTACAAACACCCTTCAATACACATTAACATCTAAATAATATATATATATATATATATATATATATATATATATATGCACCAATAAATAGTGCAAATTTTTAATATCAAATATATAGAAATTAGTACTTTAGGATAACCGATCAAGAAAATTACATATGAACTAATTATTATCAATGTAAAAATTATCAAGTAGTCAAACATACTTTCGACTCTTTAGTTAAACAATTGAGCGTAACCAAAATCATTTGAAAATATGAATGAGTTGTGTTAGGGGAGATTATACATGAGGCTAGGCACACTTAACGTAGCATTAATGAAAGAGTGAGTCCAGGAAGAATAAAACCCACCATGCTTATTTTGGGTGGGGCAATGAGAAAAACCCTACTCGGAGGCGCATGACGACAAAGTAAGTGTCTCTCCAAATCAGTATTGATACTGACAGTCTGGCGCATGTGTGTGATCAAGAGCGTTGGTCGGTGCACATGCTCGTTTGGGGAAATAAGACATTTAATGCTCTGATAAAGTTGTCGCATCCACATCAGGTATAAATAGGAAGCAGGTAAGAGCATTTAAGCAAGGTGGATTCTCTCTTTAAAATTTGGAATATCACTTATCTCTCTAGAGCAGATCTTAATTTGACCTCAGAAGGACTAACAGACCTAGAAATGTCCGCGTGTGCGCATGTGCAGGTGTGAATATATAAGTGTGTGCGAATTTTCTCTACATGTTGGATACAAAAGTACAATCTGTTATTCTTGTGTAATATTATATGTTATTACTCATATGTTAGATTAGATTGGATATAATTTATAAATGTATGAACAATATAATGACTGTTTTCCATATATACGGACTAAAATGGTCGGACCATTAATTTTCAACCCACATGCTCCACCGGACTAACGGGCTAAATCGTTTTGACAACTTTGGTCATGAGTCGGTCCTACTACTTTAAATGTAAAATGAAATGTGCACCTATAATATATTTATACACCACAATGAAGGGGGAAACTCGATTGATTCAGACAAAATTCACAAGCTGAAAGCTTAATGAACCAATATAAACTCAATATTCTTCAATGTCTGACCTAAACCTCGTGTTTAAGCCTTTAAATAGGCTAGAGAAACAAAAACTAAACAAAACCCCAAAAAAGAGAAGAATCCAAAACACAAAAGATAAATTCACTCGTCAGCCCCGATCCCCGGTCTCAGTCTCAGATCCCCGATTAAGGATTTAAGTGCAACTGATTGGTGGTTATTTTGTTGCTAATCCTTGATCTGCCACATAATTCACCCGTTAGGGAATAAACTCCTCCTGGCTGAGGGAATTGTATCACATAGCAGTCAAAATTGAGATTTTATGTAAAATCGTAAATGAGGGTAAATTTGAAATTGTAAAAATCAAATCATAAAATCGTAGAATTTTAAGGTATATAATACTAAAAAAAATCCTAAATAACACTAAAAAGACTTCACACTTACAATGATAATTTCTCAAGGTTAATATTTTAATTAATCAAGGTTGATGTTGGGAAGTGGTGAATCAATAATGATTAATACGTTGATGTGAATTGATGATGGTCGATGGCGATTAGTGTGAGAGAACTAGATGATGTTGGTGGAGGAGATGGAAAAGAGGCACAGTTTTGCAAATATTTGAGCAAATAAGTAAAATTGACGTTGGGAAGTGGTGAATCAAGGTTAATATTTTAATTAATCAAGGTTGATGTTGGGAAGTGGTGAATCAATAATGATTAATACGTTGATGTGAATTGCTAATGGTCGATGGCGATTAGTGTGAGAGAACTAGATGATGTTGGTGGATGAGATGGAAAAGAGGCACAATTTTGCAAATATTGGAGCAAATAAGTAAAATTGACCTAAAGATTTGAATCGTAGTAAGAATTTAAAATTTTAAATCATGAATATTGTACGATTTTAAGGTACATAGATTATATAGTTAAATCAAGATCAAAATATATTAGTAAAATTGTAAAATTTTATCATTTAAGTTGGGATTTTGACTACTCTAGTTGTAGCTAAAAGAGACAATTTTGGTCTCAAATGAATAGTGGTTATGGTATTAAATGAAAAGAGACATTTAAGTCCCCTGGTTATGGTATTAAATGAATAGAGGTGCAGAAGATACTTGGTGCATATTGGCATTAAAGAATCTAATATATACTTTAATTCACTCTTATCTCAATATAGTATTTATAGAGTATTTAACAGATATTTGACTAAATCAATTTTGTGAGAATAAAGTGATGGTTTTCTGCCATCTATTTTATAATTTAAATTACCTTTAGTTATCAATGGTCACATTTTATGAAGGAACTTCAGTTGATCTCTTTGAAGACTAAAGTTGGACCAATTGAAAATATGTATGTTCATGATTATATTGCATGTATTTCCTATCACTCATCCATATTCAACCTATGTCATTGAGAGTATTGATGTGGTGTTCATGGTGGTTTAATCATTATCATATTGTGCTTAAACCAATGTTGGTTTCATAATTGATACATGAGGTGAACTAAATTGTTTCAGACGATGTTTAAGCACAAATAGTATACGGTTGCCCCCTGGAGTTTTTTAGTGATATAATTGTTTCAACAAAATATGCCGCCCAAGTGGGAGATTAAGGCAATTCATTTTGGCCATATATTTTGATGTGGGTTTATTATAAGTGATCTAAATCAAGAGCTCAAATACATATGTGTTTGATATGGACCTAAATGGGTGGAAACCCACATACCTACTCACTTTGGGTTTAGGGAGCCCATGGTGACTAGTATGCAACGTACCATTTTGTGGTTGTGGTATACAATACACTTAACACACACATATTCTCTCCATCAAGAATATGTGAGACTACCTGAGAGTGGGTTTGAGGGGGCTTAATTGAGGAAGGCTTCAGAAACTTCGTAGTCGTACTCTAGACAGGGGCGAACCTAGGGGCATTTGGGGGTGTCCCGCTAAATTTTAGAAAAACGATTATCCAACTCCCGGTAGTAATTTTTGTATGTACAAAAAAATTGTAATCAATAGTCCGGGACACCCGAAAATTTGAAAAAACTATTATCCTACTGTCGTTTGTAGTTTGCGTATTTGAATATAAGTGGTAGTTTGGGTAATTCAAACCCGAGACACAACTATTATTAATAAATATAATTTTCTTTAGACTACAACTTTTTTTGTTGTTCTATTCTAAACACTGTGTAATAGCAAAACCCTGTTCTCTATCTTTAATTATTTTCAAAATCTAACAATTAATCTAACTGCAAGCTACCT